ACCTTCGCCGCCTTCAAGTTCCCCGACAGCCAGCTGGTGCGGTTCAACGTGATCGTTCGATTCTGCTTGGAAAAGTGTACGCCGGTGAGTCCTCCCCCCTCTCTATTCCCCGTTCCGCCTGTCATCGAACGCGATCCTTACAGGCCAACTGCAAACGCGGCAAGCCCTCCTACGGAAAGAAGAAGCGAGCCAGCCAATCTCCCTCTCCACCGGATGATGAAACACCGGAGGTGCTACCGTTACAACTCTCGATAATCGTTAAAAATCCCGTCGCATCCTCGGCCGATCGTCTATCGTCCCCGAGGGAGAACTCCTCTCCGGACACTCTGCTCATCACTGGTGGACCAAGTGAGTCGAAAAGTGAACCAAACGAAACGACGCCTTTCTCTCGCCTTTCTCTCGCCTTCTCCTCAGACTCTATGAACGGGCTGTTTTGCGTGGACGCCAGTCTCGCTTTGAGCCTGCTCATTTTTTGGCTGATCATTCAAATCGGCTTAATCGTCGGCTGCCTGATGGCGATCGCGCAGTACAGACGAACCGCCGTAAGAGCGGAACAAGACAGAGCGAACGTCCTCGCCAGGCATCTCTACGGTATTCACGGCGGAAACTTTGAAATCGCTCGAAGAGTCAGATGGGCCGATCACAACGCTTCCTCCTCGTCTCTCGGCTGACTATGTAGAAGGAGGGGACAGAAGGTAAAAAGCAGAATCGTTCGCAATGCTAATCTCTATTCAGGGTCGAAATTACGCGATAAAAGAACAGTCTTCTTGATTCAAGTTGCAGTCACGAGCCGATGTCGTCGATCCGTTCAACACCTTACTATCCGCCTCTTACCTTGGTGGTCACGCAACGTCCGTAGTACTGCAAATTCACGTCTGCAACAGCAAAGAAATGCGTCGTTCGTTACTATCGTGCCGCCGATTCCTTTCGTTCTTACCTATTCTTACCTTTTCCACAGCTCATCGTGCAACGTAATTTTCCTATATTGGTGTAGATCGCGTTGTCCGTGCCACAGACAGGATTATACTCGGGCGTTGTCTGAAACATCGTCCTTCTCTTTGAGAAAATCTCTTTTCAACTTTGAACTCGCTCGAAAGATGCGATAACGTGTCGTAATCGCAACTGAAACCAGTATGGTAATCGCGGCGCACCAATGGCCGTGACATTTCTCCTGCTCGCGGCAGCGATCTCGAGC